CCTATAGGAGATTCAGGTGTTGCATGTGCGCAGGAGCTGAGTGTCTTGGGCTGCTGCATGCTTCCCACGAGCAATCATTTCAGCAGGATCATCGGCCTTTCACAGGGAAAGTCCAGATCCACACCAACGTCGGCCGCACGTTGAACACAGCCAGGTGCGCATGTTTCCGCACTAAGGAAGCGACAGCAAGCGTTGCTATAAAGACCTTCCTGAACGGAGCAGTTGAAGAGCACTCATGAACTTCCTACAGAAAAACTCCGGTGCTTTGGGCCCCTCATGAACACGCAACGTTCATATTGCATCATATTTATCTTAGTGTTACTTATTTTGCCTATGCCATTTTTTCAAAACTCCGGCCAAGCATCGGCCGCTCAGTCGTGGAAACTGATGCTTTCATTGCCTGAGCTGCTTGCTACAGTTGGCTACTAGGACATTTTTCCCTCTGAAGGCCTATGCAGGCCATTCGACATCGGCAGCAACACAAACAGCATGAAGCAAATGAAATCATTTGAGCACCCAACCAACACCACCTGCAGAAAGGTTCCAAAATGTTCCAAGTGAGCCGGGAACTTGACGCACTGCTTATGGAACACAAAAATCTCTAGTGGCTAATCGGTGAAAGTATGTCCTGACAATCAAGCACAAACATTGGAAAGTCGAAAGTCCGCTCTGATCCTGCCTCAGCTATCCCAGATTGCACATCACAGTACACCTGCTGCTGGCCATTGCTGGCTGCTTGGATTCGAGTCTTTAGTGAGCTTTTGCTAGGGCAGCATCCAAGAGTGTAAGAGGCTAAAATGCTCTAGGACTTTAGGGTCTCAAGAGGCCTTTTATATATTGAACAGAATTGCCGTGAGTGTGAGGCACTTCTTCATGGCACCTTGAAACACTCTCCAGTCTTACACACTTCAAAGAAAAGAAAACTGACTTTGACCAGCCCCCTCCATGAGTCTCCTGATTGCCATGGTGTTCGTCACTCCGAATTAAATCACAGTCCTCGACAATCGCTGGACGTGATGTGAATTGGACAATACCCAAGATGCTCTTCACCCCCTTCAAGCCGGGACAGCAGCCAAAGCACAAGTCATCCTGATTCACAATTGTAATACAATTGTACTACAATTGTCACAATTGCTTGTGTCCTTCCAAAGCAGCCGGCACATGTCCCCAAGTTGTTCTGGCAAAAGGCCAGTCCTGCGATTGGGATACCGGTTTGAGTTCAACAGGCCCAAGGTTGAAGACAAACACATGGTGGGCGGGCAAGGTGCCATTCCAAGCATCATGGTGATGATGGCTCAGGAACCATATGGAATCATCCAAACAGTCACAAAAAGTATGAAAAGTCATCGAGCGCTGCTCTGGCATCTTGCACTTTTTCTGTCCGCGAAGGAAGCGGATTGTACAGTACTGTATGGATGGAGCTAGGTTCGACCTACAAGTAATGGCCTTTCATTGCCTTTGAATCTTTCCATTGGCTACGACCATGTGATGTCACAAAAGAATCAAAAGATAAAAATGAGCCCACCAAGACTGAACATCACTTAGAATGAACTCAGTAAACCTGATTAAATCTGGGGATAGCTGGATAGCTGGGGCAAAAATGCGTAGGTCCGAACGTCTCCGAAAGCTCTTAGCCCAACTGCGTGGCGATCTCACTTGGATCCACGGGATTTACCAGCACCCTGGGAGTGAAGCATCGCATCACCTCCACATGGAAAGGAAGGATGACAAGTACCACGACCACGACGACGACAACAACCATGTTACAACAATCGATTGGAATATAGCATAATGTAGTACTTAAATGTACTTAGATGTACTTAGATGCATTTGGATGTACATTGTGCATTGTTTTACTATCGGATAAATCACGCACCTGCAAGAATCCAAAAACATCCGACATGAACAATTACTTTAAGTCCAAGTGAGTTTGCCAAGGTCGAAAGAGCAGAATCAATTTCAAGTCATTCAGAGTCCGCTGATGTCGTGAGCGATCCCTCAACCCATCCTTTCATACCCCTGCGATCCCCCTTGTATCCCTTCATCGATTGCGCCTCGATCAATGCTCTTTGTCACCTTCAGGTTTGAACGAAGACACAGGTATATTGGTATATAGTTTCTTTTCAAAAAAATGTCAGGCAGATCCTCAGGCACATCTTGCGGCGACAAAACTTCAATCATCTTGAATCATCTTTGTCCTTAAACATCTCCAAAAAAGACTCCAAGTCCTAGCAGCTCCAAAACAAGCAGATGTGTTTTCAAAGTTTAATTTTTTAAAAAAAAATATTATTATTATATATATATTGTATTATATGTGTATAATGTGCCCACGGGAAAAAACCGCGGCAATTGTTGTTGCTTGTAGCAGCGTTTGCCAGACCTGCTTAATTGGATCTGCACATTTACTATGTAGGACATGTCACCGTCATCATTATGTGGGGTTGCAGATTGTCTGTCAACCGTAGACGGCCCATGACATCAAAAAGATCATGGGTGGGGAGTTTCAACGGTTCTGCACCTTGCGCATGACGGCCTCATGAGAAGCACCACCTGAAACCAGGCGATATTTGCATGACACAAAGACTTGATTGATTCATATTGGTCATATTGATTCTGGGGTTGTCTATTGTCGAGGCCTCACAGACTTCTGGGATAAAGACTCCTGAACAAAAAGTTGCTTGGGTTTTGCAGGCTGTAGATGTGGTCGAATAGCTTGATCATGCTGGATCTTTGAGATTTGGTGGGCCGCCAAGTCACTTGGATCCACTGCACCACAGTGGAGGTCGGTTGGGAAGTAGCCACCTTCCTGTGCAGAGCCGGGAAGGACAAAGTCGTAGAGATAAATAGACTAAGTAACAAACAGCATGTTTCAACAAGCTTGGGGCTTGAGGTCTTCTTTGTGTCATTAGCTTCGTTTGTTTACTCTTGCGTTATGTACATTCTGTTACCTTCTGTTACATTATTTTAAAATATTTTGTTACATTTACATCCTTCGCGGATGAGGTTCATGCCCGCAGGGGGTGAGGGTACAGGATCTCATGGGCGTGTTGACTTGATGCTGACTCACCGACATTGCAATATTCCACAGATTTCTACAGTAATCGCAGTCACAAACCGTCCTCTATCAGCTCTTTTCGTGCCTGGCACAGCTATCTTGCAGTACAGAAACCTACCCGCTCTGCCTCCGAAATACGAATTCCTTCATGGATCCAGGTCCTAAAATCTACAGTACAAAATGTACAAGTGAAAAGAAACGTGGTAGTCGTGGTAGGACGCGTGGAAGAGATCTGCCCATTTCTGCCTACATAGAAGACTTTACATAGCACGCAGTGCAGCACGCATAGCATGGTGGAGGAATGTGGCGGAGATTTGGGAGCTGAGCCGTCTCTGGCAACATCTGGCAACACTGCCTTGGAGTCTGATTTTGCCACAACCTTTGTTTGTTCCCACCTTGGCGAGGCAACAAGCAAAGCCGGCGGCTGCACTTGCCAACTTTCCCTGGATTCTCAAGGAATGGTCAACAGATTTGTTAGATAGCGTGGAAGCATGTATTATACAAAGTTTTGAGCAGCATCGCCCAACAGGTATCAACACCATCCTTAAACTCTCCAATCTCAAGACGTGGAAGCAGGCTTTGCTGATTGCTCAAGGCTTCCGTGAAACTGCAGCTTCCATACATCCTCCAATCTGAGCTTGCGGCTCCTTGGCCAAGAGGTCCATCGCTTTTGGGGATACACCGTGCTTCTTCCAAAGCTTCTGGGCCTTCGTTAGGGCTTCGCAGTTTGAACTCACACCTTCGTTCCGTACGCTCAACCAGTTGACTGTCCGAGTCTGGGGCTGAGAAGATTTGAGGAGTCTTCATTCAGAGAATGCATAGAAGTTTGAGGGTCGATCTCTGCTTCTACTATTCCATTTAGGGACACAAATTACGTATGTTTTAAGTTTTAAATTTAAGCCTGATCTGACTCCATCCATTCTTGAGCACAATGCAAATATTTTAGCTCCGGCTGAGTCATTGCTATGCTGCTATGCCTGGCAGCTCCACTCCTTCCTGATTCTTGATATGTACCACCGCCATCGCCTCCTTAAGCGTGATCCTGTTCTGTGCCTTCTTCTCAGCCTGCCGCATCCGATCCGGAGAGCTGATCCGGCAATGCTGAAAACATGTGCAAAAAACAATAAAGGCTGAAGAAAGTCAGCACATACTTTTTAAATCTGTTCAAATGATTGTGTGTGCATGTGCTCGTGCACTCGCTGTCACTCTCTCTCTCTCTCCCTATCTTTCTCTCTCTCCCTATCTTTCTCTGTGCCCATCGCCACACCATCCCCTCCCTCAGCCATGCATAGCCCTGCATGATTTACACAAGCTGTCTCCAAAGACATTATTGGCAATCTCATGATTGCTGCATACCTCTTCACTTCTTGCAGCGCAGCGACTGTCAATTCCAACACTTAAACTCAATATCTACACCAAACTTCAAGATCTGCACGGGAAGTAAAACAATCTTCCCATATCTTCCCATAGTCACAGTCCAAAGCAAATCTGGCAAATCAATCCAAATCACAACTAATGAGTACTTATGGCCTCTGACGGAAAGTATTTGACCTTGGTATGACATAGAAATCAGACATGACCATCAGGTGGAAACTGCACGCATGGAACACATGCAAACCAACCTTTCGCTCACGGCATCTCAAAACAAACAGCTTCTAAACACAGCTGCCCAACGCTGCCAAATGCATGATGATCTGTGAATCTGCGAACAGTTTGAGCGTTTAAGGCGCGCATCAGTGAGGCTCCTTTTGCCAGCACAATGACAACGAGGTTGGATCTAGCACTGTCCTTTGCATCATACAGAATTTGCGGTCAATCTGTTCAAGGCATTCTTTACCGCCGGAGTCTGGGCAGAGACTACCCAGCTCTTCAATGCCACCGATCCCTACAGGTCAGACATCTTGATATGTCTTGGGCCCTCAGTGACTCTGTGACCTTCTGTGACCTAATCTCGCATCACCACATCCTCCTCAACTGAGACGAGCTTGGTGATCTCCTTTAGACAGCTGTTGGATTCATTGGATGATGGGTGTGTGGTCTAAGACATGCTAGAACTGTCCAAAGAAAATCCTGGTGGCCTCCCTAAATGACCACTCCCAAGGACGTTCACAGCCTTGTCCTTGAATTTTATCGCATAGCGTGCACAACACAAGGACTGCCGCGCCTGCTTCATGATGGGAGTGGTGCCAATTGGGAAGGCGGCATGTTTTGCACGGAACTTACGTTCATTCGGCTTCTCAAAGTTGCGCAGAATGGTGCCACCAACATCCTTTGTAATGACACACACCTCAGCCAGTTTTTCTGGTTCTGATTCTTTGACACTGAGGATTCCTTGACAGCAACACTTAATTAGTATATAAGTATTAGTATAGTAATTAGTATGAATACATGGTGGCATGATATACCAACATGGGAGAAATGAGAGAATACGGAGGTGGGCTGACCCAGTAGGCCTGGTTGAAAACATTGAAGACCTTACATTTTCATACATTTTCATGATAACTTAGCCCCGATGTTCTTTGGCTTTGAAATTCTTTGACGATGGTTGCGGAGGTGCTACCGAGTTGCATCCACATTGCTACCTGAGCAGTGTCCAGAAATGAACAAGCAGCCATGCAGCGGATGTCTTCAAAGATCAGTGGTGTACTGTCAGTTCAAACGCAAGCCATGAATGATGACGGGGCGGTCATCAGAATTGCTACAGACGACGCACAAGCATCATGGCATTTGCACGCGCACCAATCGGGTAGACGCAATGACTTCACTTTCTGAGGGAAGAGATGCGTTTCAATGTTCAAAGGCTCGCCTGATCCCAGATCATTGAAGATTCCCGCTCGAATTGCTTTGGCCACCAACTTCTTGCCTTCTTCAACGCTCAGATTCCTTAGCATTCGCGATCACATGGTCACACTTGCAACTATCGCATGTTAATGCCAAGGTAAATATGTCACATGCAGATGCATCAAGTCAATTCAAGTCATGCCAATGCTGCAGCATCTCCAGCCAAGAGGCTCGTTGTACTCGGCTTCCAAGATTGCCATTGCGGCCAAAGAGCCACTTCCCATGGATGTGAAGGGAAGCTTGTCCGTAGAGCCATGCGGGTAGATTTGGAAAAGGTGCGGGCCAGTCACATCAACACCTGGAAAAGCCAAAGAAAAGGGTAAAGGACTCATGTCACTGCCTGCCTTTCAGAAGCCCTTCTACTAAGCCATTTGCTAGCAATCTTAGTGGCGATTGCAAGAAAAACTGGATGACAGTCTGACCTTGTCGGAAACTGAACACTACATTTGAATTCCATTTTTCTCCCAACAAGTTCAACATGCTATGAAAGAATCTTGAAGCTGCTTTTCACCTCCGAGGACCAGAGCGCAACCGACGTATCCTGCGCAAAAAATCAAGCAAAAAAATGCGACATGCAGCCCAAATCTGTGGAACGGTATCGTATACTTTTCTACTATTTAGATCTACTAGTACCTTTTAGATCCATTTGGTATCTTTAAGGCACTCCTGTCACATCCGGACAAGAGTGACCAAACCACCCCACTTGCCCCTGGGGAGGCTCAGCAAAGATCAACAAATTAAATTGTCCTTGGTACTTGAAGAGCATGGAGCTCAAACGGCGCACCACTGTGCACACGCGGGGCTGGGTGCCAGTGGCCATGCGCAAGAGCTCCATCTGAGATTCCATCATCTCAGTAGTGTGCCTCAACAATCTCAACGTGGGAGGTGAATGCCTCTTTGATCCCATTTGCCAAACATCTGCTTGAAAGCAGTGAAACTCAAGCTCATGGTTAGATCCTTCCGTAAGTGAATCAAGAACTGAAATACAACTCAATTAAATATAGTCCCCCAAATCCAAGAAGGAATTGGAATGATTCGGCAAACAAAACAAACATGCCGACCGTGCTGACCGGACTGTTTGAGCGGTGAAGACTAGGACACGAAAGAATCTACCTGGCGATGTCACTCGCGCGTTTGAGGTGGGTAGTTTTGACTCATCTGCACAGCGAGTTGCTGCAAGTCTGCTGCCGTGCCAGCCCCTGCGCAATAGACGTTCTTGGCAATGAAATGCAGCTTCTCACAGTTCCTCAGTTGGATGGGCCAGCCATAGCCACCCAATGGAGCAGGGCCTGAGTTTGTGCTGCAGAACAGCAACAATTTCTGCATTTTGCGCTAAAGGCAAGGCTCTTGTCCGCGACCATGGGCCCACAGGTGGAACGAGTATCAGCGGCGAGGATCACGACATCCTTGAGTTGAATTCCACAAATCGTAGTTCCCGACTTCATCGCAGTGGGTGGCTTGATTGCCACCTGTGAGAGGAGAAGAAAACAATGAAGTTTCGCAGGCAGAAATGTCTGACTGACGATTGAGGGTTGCAAGCCATCCCGGCCCGAACGACAGCCCCTGAACGAATTGCGTGCTCTTTCAGTTCTCAATCAGCAACTCATTCACCAGCCTGTGAAGCAAGGTAGGCGTTCCTCTTGCAATTTTCGAAGCCTGAGAGGGTAAAAAGAACCAAACCGAAACTGGTTTGTGTTGCAAATCTCCCATGCCAACATGCTCACTAGCGAGCTGAATGGCTCTTCAAACGCCGCAGGGCTGAGGAGCTGTTAGCATCTTGTAGCGCTGAGAATCTGCCAAGAAACTAAATCCTCCCCTATGAGACTGCAACACATCAAGGTAATCCTCCAAGTCTGGTGAGATCACTCTATCAGCAAGGAGGGCCAAAAAAAAAACAGAAATGCAACGGACACATTTAAAATCCAAAACTATCTACTGTGTGTGTGTGTGCCTGATGATGCAAGTGTGTCATGGCAGAACCCTCAGTTCCTGAACGGAGGAAATTCTTATGTGGTTCGTATCTGAGAGTGTCCTGGGGCTCTTCAACTGCGGCCATGGTGACAGCGTGGATTGGAGCTGAGTGATCGGTTTTGTACTTCCGTTGAGCCACCAGTGCTTGAGCCCAGAAGGTGCAGCAGCCAGAGCATGCTAAAACAAATGTGTTCCTGCCAGTGAAACAAAACTTGAGGCCAAAAACTCCATGCCACATTATGCTATGGCCTATTTGGCAAAACTTGCCCACTGACCCAGCTCTGTCTTGTCCAAATAAAACATGTGACCTGAGTTAAAATCCTGTATCTAATAGAAGGATGGAATCCATTTGTAACGAGCTGCTGAGATTTTCTTTCGCAGCGATGGTGATCCTCCCTCCTGGAATGCGCTGGCATTCTCTACACCGTTTGATCTTCGGAATGTGCTGGGAGCTACCGCAAGGGTTCTCTCTTTCAGTTTCAACTCTTTCCAGAAAAGGCATTGCTGAAGTTGCGGGTCAATGTGCAGAAGTGCAAAAGTTTAAGATCACCCGTCCTTGTTGGTACCAAAAACCAAGTTGTTCCAGGTCTGCTGCAACCTCAGGGTTCAAGCCGTAGAAGTTGATCTTGCAGCGCCATCTTTACAACAACAGGCGGAATGCAACAAATTTGGGCCACCTGACAGTTCCTTGTTGCATTGAGGACTGTCCAGGAACGCCAAGATTTTGTCCAGGAGGTCCATACAACGGCCACCTCCAAAATGCGCCATCATTGGCCGGGCAGCAGGCAAGCTGAAATCCAGTTCATCTCAAATGCGGCTAAATAGGTTCAAGGCTTTGTTCCCAAGAGGCTCGCCGAAGTTTGAATTGGAACATCTCTAACAATTGAAGAGGGGAACGAAACGTCTGGAACCGCTAGGTCTCGACGTAAAATCTAAGGAGCCAACCTCCTGCAATCAAGAAAATATAAGAAAATCAACAAGCCTTCCGAAAATAAAATCAAGGGTCCCCAAGGCTACTTCCCAATTTTCCCATTGTTCATGCCCTTTCTCCCCATCCATGATCTCATCGCATTTTTTTAATGCAAAAAAAAACATGTTATTATTGTCCTGTAGGTGTTGTGTTTAGCCTTTTTGTGGTCTTGAAGAGTTTCCAAGATCTTCCCAGTGAATTTGGTGTCTCTTGATCTCCTTCTTAATCTTCATGGCATGTTCTTTGTTTGGTCCTAGCTGGCCGAGGGCTGGGTTGTGCACCTTGGGACCCAAAAACTCATTAAACAAATCTACATAGGTTTGATAAATGTTGATTGTTTTGATGCTTAAATGGGACAGAGATAGATGGTTCATAGTGGATGGTTCATAGTGCAATTTTATCCCAATAGAGCACCCAACAGGGGCGTTGAAGGCCAGCGCAACAGTGCACAAATGCGATCACAAGGCCTTGCATGATGTGGCCCCAGAAATGACCAACTTCATCCGACCTTGGCAAGGAAACCAAACTATTCCAACAAGCAGAAAGACCAAACGTGAAAAAACAATAAAAAACACTTGAAACGAGCCGCAAGTCCACAAGTGTCCTCCCTAGGTGTGGTGAGAGAACAAGCGCAGAACTGCTGGTGATTGTAATTGCACTAAGCATCACTAAGCTACGCGAAAACATGATCGAATGGTATCGAATGATAGAATTGCGTACAAATGGCTGAAATAGGATTGTTTGCAGTCCGTCAACCGATAGTGAACATCTTCCTTGTCATCGTTTGAAAAGATTCCCGCGTTCACTAACAGCATAAAATGTGTTCGCTGACGATCATGAAGCAAATATATTAAACCTGCTATAATCGTTACATTGCTATTGGTCCGAAGCATGAAACCAGATTTGATCCTCAATCATCCTCGCGATCCACTTCCCCCTGGGCGTCCCCGCGCAGCAAGCGGTGGCTCCAGCAGTTGCTGTTTCATGGAGGACACCTGGCAGTACACGTGGAAGTGCTAAAACATAAAGTAAGGACAAACATGGATTGTACAGTACCAGGCAGTGCCCAACTCGCGCTGGGGCAGAAGTTTCGAAGAAATGAAACAACACTATAGGAAGAAGATGGCCTATAAGAAAGTTAGATGCAGAAGCAACGAAGTGCTGAAGTTGTGAGATGCATCAACGAATGAGCAGCAGGTTGTTGGGTCGCCAATGCAATGACATGATTCAGGGATGGTCGCATGGGGTGGCAATTGGTAGGTACTTTAATCGTAGGTATGATGTCAAGTCTGAATTGAGAAATTTGTGGAAAATTGAAGAAATTGAGCTCAAATCAGTTATGGGTTAAAAAAAAATAACAATTTGAAAAAAAAACATTTTGAGGAAAATTGAGTTCAAATCAGCTATGGGTAAGGACCGTATTTGTTTTTAAGGAACAAATTTTGCGGAAAATTGGGCATGAATCCATGCACAACTGACTGAATGAATCAATGAACCAATGAACCGCTGAATCAATTAGCATTGAACCGATGAACCAAACGAAGCACTGAATCAATGAATCAAACGATGAATCAATCAATGAATCAAGGGATCAGTGAGTCAATGAAGCAGCAACGAAGCAATGAACCAATGAGTCAATGAATGATGAAGTAGTGAGCCGATGAACCAATGAATCAATGAGGCAACGAAGCACTGAATCAATGACTCAACGAATCGGTGAAGCAATCAACCAGTGAACCAGCTAATCCATGAGTTCATGAATCAGTGAGTCAATGAACCAATGAACCAACGAATCAATGAATCAATGAAAAACGAATCAGTGCATCAATGAACCAATGAGCCAGTGAATCAATGAAACAACGACTTAATGCATCAATGGGTGAGTGAATTCACGAATAATCAATGAGTCAATGAATGAATGAAGCAATGAATCAGCGAATCAACAAATCAATGCGTCATTTAATCAGTTAGCAAACGCGCCAATGAATCAATGAATCAGTGAGTCAGTGAACCAATGAACCAGCGATTAAATGATTCAGTGAAAAAAGGAATCAGGGCATCAATGAACCAGTGAATCAACGAATCAGTGATTCAATGAATCCGTCAACGAATCAATGAGCGAATGAACGTCAATGAACCTACCAGTAGTACCGCACAAGGCGGTGGCGGAAGTTCAAAAATAGGAAACCTATAGGAGAGATTGGTTGTTGTGAATCACGGATGGCAGAGCGAAGCCACTGATGGACCGACAGGTGGTTGACGTCTCCTCTCTTTCTCTCTTTCTTTCTCTCTTTCTCTTCTCATCTATCTAGCTATCTATTTATCTATCTCATCTGTCTATCTCACTATGTATCTATCTATCTCCCCATCTACCTATCTACCTATCTATCTATCTATTTATCTCTCTCTCTCTCTCTCTGTCTGTCTGTCTCTCTGTCTCTCTGTCTCTCTGTCTCTCTGTCTCTCTGTCTCTCTGTCTCTCTGTCTCTCTGTCTCTCTGTCTCTCTGTCTCTCTGTCTCTCTGTCTGTCTCCCTGTCTCCCTGTCTCCCTGTCTCCCTCCCTGCCTGCCTGCCTGCCTGCCTGCCTCCTGCCTGCCTGCCTGCCTGCCTGCCTGTCTGTCTGTCTGTCTGTCTCTGCCTGCCCGCCTATCTATCTATCTATCTATCTACATATCTATCTATCTATCTATCTATCTATCTATCTGTCTATCTACCTATCTATCTATCTATCTATCTGTCTGTCTGTCTATCTGTCTATCTGTCTATCTGTCTATCTGTCTATCTGTCTATCTGTCTATCTCTCTATCTATCTATCTATCTATCTATCTATCTCTCTATCTCTCTATCTCTCTCTATCTGTCTATCTATCTATCTATCTATCTATCTGTCTGTCTGTCTATCTATCTATCCATCCATCTATCTATCTATCCGTCTATCTGCAAGCTTGAAAATGAAGCTATTCTTCGGGACTTCCTCAGCTATTGAACTTGACAACGTCAAAAACAAAGCAATTCTGCGAGACTGAATCAATTTTTGAACTTGACAACATCAGAAACGATGCGAGACATCCTCAATTTTTTGAACTTAGCAACGTCAAAAACGAAACAACTCTGCAAGACTTCCTTCAAAAATGGAAAGTTGAGTGCAGCGCTGACTACTGCGCCTACCATGAAAAATTGATGCCAGGTCATACGAAGTGCTGCACCTGTCACGCAAAATCATCTTAGCAAACCTGCAGATCTGATGCTCCAAAATGCAACCCCTCTCAGGAAATCAGCGCCCTGACCTCCTAACATCTCTGATGAACATGTCTTTTGTATTGTGCCTGCCACGCGAAATGCATCTTTGCAGGTCCTCTTCAAATGTCCCACGCCTACCATCGTTTTTGGAAATGCTACAAAACCCTGATGTTTTGCTCACTTTTGAGAAGGTGCACAATCCCTTGCGCCTGCCACGCGCAACGACATCTGAACGTCCAAAAGTGGTCGGAACCCCTGGTGTCTTTAACATTTTGACTTCGAAATGTGCTTTGCGCCACAACGGCGCGCACTTTTTCGACATCTCAACTTCCAAAAGTGGTCCGGACCTGGTGTGTTTTGTACATTTTGACCTCGACATGTGCTTCGCGCCACAACGGCGTGCACTTTTTCGACATCGCAACTTCCAAAAGTGGTCCGGACCTGGTGTGCTTTGTACATTTTGACTTCGAAATGTGCTTCGCGCCACAACATCTCAACTTCCAAAAGCGGTCCGACGCTGAGGTGCTTTGTACATTTTGACTTCGAAATGTGATTCGCGCTACAACGGCGTGCAATTTTTCATCTCTCATGGCATGGCTCCGCACCCGCCGCTTTAGCGAACCTACTTTTCGACCCTCCGGAGCCACAAATCATTGGAAAAACACAGTGTTTCGCGACTTTCCTACCTTTTCGCGCATCTGCATCTTCTTTCTTCTGACGTTTTCTCTTCTCTGATCTTCTCTCTTCTTCTCTTCTCTCTGACTCTTCCCATCTCTTCTTCTCATCTGTCCATATTGTCGGAAGTTTGACTTCTAAACTTCCTTCAATCAATCAATGAATCAGTGACTAAACGAATGAACGAATGAATGAATTGAA